ACGGTAATGCTATCCATGTATTCAACCATGGTGGGCGGAAAAAGCTCCTAGGGTGGGGATCCTTGACAGTTCTGTTTGACGATTCATTTTGACACATTTGAATTTGATTTGAAATTTTGTGGATTTTTTTTTTTTTTTTCATTTTATGTTATTTATTATTTATCTCTACTACTGATAGTTGTATAAAGGTAGTAAACTAGATGGAAATTGTGGCAGAACCTAAAATTAACAGTGACATTTATCGCGATTTATCGAAAAGACTAAAATAGTTGGTTGTGTAGCGTGCGGTAGATCCCGGCAAAAATGGAGGGAAATAATGGAACAAATTTTCGCTAGTAAGTGACTATATAATATATATACGTGACTGATCATTTATGAAATTCAATTTGAATTTTGAACTAAATTATATATTTCTTGCATTTTAGCTTTCTTTATTTACTACTTGTCAAAGATCAGATATCAAAGAATCTGATACATTAATTTGACTTACCTGCTTAGCGTATCGGATGTTTGTGTTAATAAATAATTCTATTATAACTTTACTCCATTTTATTAGAACTATACATTTTTATACACTTTTAATAACTACCAACATTTATTCACAACGTAAAATAAAATAACAAATTATTGAGTTTACCCCACGTCTACCCTACATCATAGTTTTACATTTTTTAAATAAAATTAGAACGGCACTGATAAACCGGAATTTAAGTCGGCCATATTTGAGGCCCATCGCGGTGTACAGCTGGTTCCAATAAAATTGAATACGATTTAAAACATATTTTTATTATTTCGGGCAGTATATTCTATGATAACAGTCACCCATTCCTCTACTCATGTCATGCTGACGTTCGGAAAAATTTATTTGGCACTTTGTCAAAAGCAAAGTTGTTTTATACAATGTCAAAATAACCTTAACATGCCAAAATACTTGACACATAAATATACACTGCCCAAATATTCGAAAAAAATGTGTAAAGAGTCGTATTCATTTTTTTTGGAACCAGCTGTACCTAAGATTTTTGATATGCTCCTTCCTTAGTCTTCTTATTCAAAGTCAATAACCGATACTTGTGGAAATGCTTGATAGATGGCGATATGTATATCGATAAGTACGGTATATCGATAGGTATCGAATGTCGATAACTTTAAACATTTTGTTATACAATACATCCATAACTTCGTTACTTATCGATATATCGAGGAAAACCCATCCCTAATTATGACAGGACATTTTTGATTGAATGGAAAATCTATTCTGAGACTATTATTCTGAAAAAAGTTTCTAAATATTTATGCTAACAAAACATTTTATTTTTGAAAATGTTGAACAAAGAGACTTTTTTGTTTTTGTGTTACTTAGACTGTTTCTATTTTAATACTTTAAATTAAAAATACAGACAATCTGAGATAAAAAAATTTCTAATCTGAATAAAAACCTTTTCAAATTTTCTTCAGATTTAAAATTTAAATATGGCAACATTTTCTTCATTTGTTCTTAATTCTTTTAAGAAAACTCGGGACTTCAATCTATCTTTTTTCTGTTTTGATACCAAAAAACTTTTTAAATATTTAAGAAAATCAACGTTCAAGTTTCTTATAAAAACTTTGGACAAAAACATGAAAAAACGTTTTTGACAAACGTTTTAATATTTTTTTGGTGCGCTGATCGATTGTGGAGAAATTTCGTAACCATAGAAACACAACAAACTGTCTACTGTTTATACTTACCTCAAAATTCATGTTATTTTTGTAGTTTGTATATTATTTTTTATTTGACAAATAGAAATGGCTGATTTGCAAGAAATTGAAAAAGGAAACGATACAGTACCATCGAGCGAAGAAGTTCTTGATCCTGGTGAAAATGAAGAGAAACAAAAGGAAGAATTAAATGGTATAAAAACTGAGGGTGAAGAAAATGACGAGACAGATGAAATAGATTTATCCGACGTTGAAAAAGTATCAAAAGAGCTATCGTTCTTTGAAGAAGAAACTGGAGAAATTAAAGTTGAGGAAATGAAATTTGTGGACGTCAAAGAATATGCGCTGACGCCTAAAGATAGTCAAGATCCCAGTTATGCTAATTTAAAGGATTTACCATAGTAAGTAGAAGTACCGGGTGTCCCAACCACACACAAGTATAGCTCTCGGCTGTATCTCGGAAAGTATTAGCCGTAGGGCTTACGGAAAATAATATTTATAACTAAAGAGGCTATGAGAGATTGCTGGAAATTATTTTCAAGTTTGTAAAACGGCCGCTAGGGAGCGCAACTGCTATGGAAAATAAGAAAATAGAATTTTTACAGAATTTTGCCTAGATAATGGGTACTATAAATAATAGCTTCAT